TATATATATATTGTATATATACTGTATATACAATCAACAATGAAATCATACTAGGAAACAGTCAATATAAATCATAAGGATACAAGCGACAAAGTTACAGTCCTACAATTACAAGTGGGAGGGGATGAGTGATAAAGAGTGATGAGAAGATTAACAGTAATAGTAATGCAGACTTTGTAAATAGTTGGACAATGTTAAGGGAATTATTTGTTTAGCAGAGTGATGGCTTTTGGGAAAAAACTGTTCTTGTGTCTAGTTGTTCTGATGTGCAGCACTCTATAGCATTGTTTTGAGGGAAGGAGTCGAAACAGTTTATGTCCGGGATGTGAGGGGTCTGTAAATATTTTCACAGCCCTCTTTTTGACTCGTGCAGTATACAGGTCCTCCAAGGGTGGCAGGTCGGTAGTAATTGTTTTTTCTGCAGTCCTAATTATCCTCTGAAGTCTGTGTCTGTCCTGTTGGGTTTTTTGAACCAAACCAGACCGTTATAGAGCTGCAGATGACAGACTCAATAATTCCTCTGTAGAACTGGATCAGCAGCTCCTTGGGCAGTTTGAGCTTTCTGAGTTGGCGCAGAAAGAACATTCTTTATTGTGCTTTTTTGATGATGTTTTTGATGTTAGCTGTCCATTTCAGGTCATGTGATATAGTAGAACCGAGAAATTTGAAGGTCTCTACTGTTCATACTGTGTTGTCTACTGTTGTAAGAGGTGGTAGTATGGGAAGTTTCCTCCTAAAGTTTACCAGCATAAGTCACATATCTCAGCTCTGTGGTCATTTGGAATGGTCACTAAATGAACTATTATACATCAAGGTTAGGAGAGCTCAGAAAGCTTCAGAATGATGAAAAACAAGACTCCCATCTCCAATAAAAATGCCAAATCAGAAGCCCTAACAAGAGAATTTTGAAAAGAAAACCCTCAAACTTCCTGATATTTAAATTAAAACAACAACAACCCTCTTTCATGAGGGAAGGAAAGGGTGAGGAGTTGCAAGGCAGAACTTGGAACAGCATGAATGGATGGATATCTGGCAAGTCCAACTCTTATTCCAGTGAGCACACCCTGTGCAACACTTGTACACCCAAAACAAATTATAATAAACCACATTAAACACAGCAAGGAGAAAATGAAGATAATCCAATACAGTTGCAGGTTCTGGCATGAAATATTTTTAGGCTCTGGGCTTCAACCTTGCACAGGTCCTGTCTTGGCCTCCCACTCCCCATCTCAGTCAGAGCAACTGATTCTGGCTCACTTCCCAGTTCAAGAATGCCAAGCACTGATTTCTGCTTGTTCCCAAGCCACAAGAGTGTAGCTGCCTTCCCAGCTTTAGCTTATAATTGTTCAGCTAATCCACAGGCAGTGAAACAGCTTCAGATCTCTAGACTGACAGGAAGAAGAAGAAGAAGAAGAAGAAGAAGAAGAAGAAGAAGAAGAAG